ATTGTTCTTATTAACTTAGCTAGTTTTTAAATTTTCTTTATGCTCACATATTTCCTAAAGATATCAGCATAAATGTCCCAAAAGAAATGAGACAATCAAATTTCAATTACAGAGGAAAGAATAACTTGCTTTAGGCATTTTCTAAGTATTTTACATCTTCTCTTTCACCTTGCTAATGACTACTATTTAGTTAATTCATTGCTCTATGAGACAACCACCAGGGGATGATTCATAGGAAGAAAATAAAACCTAATACCCTTACACAGTAACAGCAATACAAACATGACTATGCAATATTGTATGACAGCATAAGAATCTAAAAATTGCATTGATAATCTTAACTTGCAGACTCAAACACTTTGAACTAGATTTGGTATAATGCCAGCTGTGAGCCTAAATACTTTAGAATAATAGGTCACACTAAAATAGTGCTTTAAGGTTTAAAAAGCACATTTCTCACAAGAACCCTATGAAGTGGACAGCAATAAATAAAACTTATTCACAGCAAACTGTGAAATACTAAATGTTTATAACTGATATTGATGAAGAAAGATCAATCAAAATTGATTTTTTTAACAGTCTATTAGGCACCAATATGGTGCTAGGTGACGGAGAAACCAAGAACAATATGAAAGTCCTTGCCTTCAAAGACCTTATGTTCTTTAGGGGAGATTCACTATGTACATATCATTACATACAAAAAAAAAAGTATGTGTGTGTATGTCTATAAATAATACAATGTAATTTAAGGTGATGGCTGTATGACAAGAGAAAGAGAAAAATAAAAATACTGCAGAGGTAGAATCAAGACTTTTATGTAAATCATTGTTCTTCCCTGGCCTCTACTGCCCTATATAGAATGTAAATTCCTTGACAGCAAGAACAATCTTGTTTGCCTCTATCTGTATCGCAGCTAAGCACAGTTGCAGGTACATAGTAAGTAAGTGTATCATTCAATTGTATATTCAAGATCTAGCAACTGGCTACGTGGGGTAAGGAGATAGAGGAGGACTCCAAGGTTGAGAATCTGGGTTATTTGATAATCCAAAATTAGTCTTTTCATTCATTCTCATAGCAGTTAAAAATTAATGTTTTTCATTCGATATCTTAATGTCAAATAGTTCATTGTTTTTAACTTCATAGATTTATTAGGTACTGGCTTCATCAGTCAATTAACTAATATTTAAGTGCCTGCTTTGTACCAGTCACAATGCTAAGCACTAGGAATATAAAAAAAAGCAAAAGATAGTCCCTGAAGGAACTTAAGGAGCTAAAAGCCTAATGGGAGAGACAACATGCAAACAATTATTTATAAACAAAAAACACATGGGATATACTGGAGATAATCAATAGATGGAAGGCCCCAGCATTAAGGACAATCAGAAACAGCTTCCTGTAGAAGAGATTTTAGCTGGAACTTGAAGGAAGCCAGGAAGTCAAAAGTTGAAAATGACGGAGAGAATTTCAGGCACAAAGGGGCAACTAGTGAAAATTCATGGAGTTGGGAGATCCGGTGTCTTCTGCAAGGAATAGGAAGGGAGCCAATTATCACAGGATCACAGAGCATTAGGTGGGAAGGAAGGGTGGCATAAGGTATAAAAGAATGGAAAGATAAGAAGGGGTTATCAGGTTCGAAGGACTTTGAATGCCAAACTGAGAATTTTATATTTATATTTCATCCTAAAGGTGACAGAGAACCATAGGAGTTTAATATATAAGGGGATGACATGGAAGGTGAATTTTAATAGCTGAGTGGAGGATGGAATGGAATGGAGAGAGAATTGAGGCAGGTAGACCAACCAGAAAGCTATTATAATAGATGAGTGCCTGCACCAGGGTGGCGACACTATTTGAGTATAGAAGTAGGCATATACAAGCGATGTAATGAAAGGAAAATCAACAGTACTTGGCAACAGAATGCATATAAGGAGTGACAGTTACAAGGTAAGGATGAAGAGAAGAAACAAGAATGTAAGTGCCTAGTGTGTGCTGGGCATAGTATGGGCAGCTAGGTGGCACAGCAGATAGAGTACTGAGCCTGGAGTCAGGAAGACTGTTCTCCATGAGTACAAAACTAGCCTCAGACACTAACTAGCTGTGTGATCCTGGACAAGTCACTTAACCCTGTTTGCCTCAGTTTCCTCATCTATAAAATAAGATGAAGAGGGAAACAGCAAACCACTCCACTGTCTTTTCCAAGAAAACCCCAAACGGGGTAACGCAGAGTCAGACACAACTGAAATGACTGAACAATGACAACATGTTCCAGGCACTGTGCTAAGCCCTTCACAGATATTATAACAACCCTGTGAGGCAAGATGGTAATCCTTTTACATTTGAGAAAACTGAGGCAGAGGTCAAGTCATGTGGGGTCTCACTGCTAGTAAGTAGCTGAAATAGATTTGAAGTCAGGTTTTCCTGACTCCAGGCCCAGGGTACTAGTCAATGTGCCACCTAGCTGCCTCCTGGCTGACACCTAGGTTGTAACCCTGAATGATTAGGAAAACCATGGTCCCCTCAACAGTAAAAAGAAAAAAATAAGGAAAGAGAGGAGGGGAGAGACAAGGACAGTTTTGGAAGTTTAAGATGCTTCAGAACATCCAATATGATATATGCAATAGGCAGTTGGAGATGCCATATATAATCAGTGACACAAAATGAGCTCTGAATAAAGCTAGAGATTCCAAGGAATGAAGATGAGGAGAGAAAGCATTCACAGCAAGGGTTTAGAATATCCTGAACAGGAAAAAAGCAAGTCAGTTTAACTAGAATGCAGAGTATCTAAGGGACAGTAATGTGTAATCCATTTAAAAAGAAAGGTTGGAGCATAAAGGGCTTTAAATATCAGACGAATTTGTATTTAATCTAGAGCAGTGGTTTCAAACCTTTTTTGTATGATAGAGTTCTTTGGAAGTCTGTTAAAGCCTATGAATGTCAGAATAGTTTTTCAAAAGCATAAAGGAAATTATATACAAAGGAAATCAATTATATTGAAATAAAGTTATCAAAATGATTTTTTTAAGTTTATTAAAACACTCCTCCTACCCCACCCCCATCAGAGATAACAGGGAGTCACTGAAGCCTCTTGACTTGGGCACTGGTCAGCAGTCACATCTAACTATGCTTTAGAAAGACAACTCTGAAATCAGAGTAGAGGACAGATGGGAGAGAGAAGACGTGAGGAAAGGGAACCAACTAGAAGGTTTTTACAACAGTCTAGACAAGAAAAGGGCCTGGTCTAGGGTAGTGATGATACAAGCAGAGAGAACAGAACCAATAGAAGAGTCATGGTCTGGAGGTTTGCCAAACCTTTATTCAGAGTAGTTCATTATTCCACAGAAATGGAAGACTAGAATTCAAAGAAAGAGATCTAGATTGAATATACAGATTTGGAAGCAACCTCTGAAAACATGGAGAGAAGAGGGGGGGGATGTCAGACCCCTGTGAGCAGGCATGTTTGAGAAGCAGTAGATGAGAATGTTCCAGCAAAGTAGATTGGAAAGGAGTAGTCAGACAGGCAAGAGGAGAATGAGAAGACAGAAGTGTCACAGACGCCAAGGGAAGGGGAAGTGATCAAATGTGTCTAAGGAGTACAAAGATAAAAAGATGAATGAAAACAATGAATGTTTGTTGACTGACTATATTCTGAACCCAACAATAAAAGGCAGCTTTTCTACTGGAAGGACAGCTATACAACAAAGTTTTAACATTTCTTGTTTAATAGTTCAAAGTGGGGGCAGCTAGGTGGCTCAGTGAATAGAGCTCTGGCCTTGGAGTCAGGAGGACCTGAGTTCAAATCTTGCCTCATACACTTACTAGCTGTGTGACCCTGGGCAAGTCACTTAACCCCAATCACCTCACCAAAAAGCAAAAAAAAAAGATTTCAAAATGCTTTAAAAAGAACATAATGGCCATGATATGATTAAGCATATATACAAAAACAGTTCTCAAAAGCTATCTCTAAATCAAATTTAACTTTTTCTTAATTTCCCCACTAATATCAACCACTATACTGTTCAAAAGATATTTTTGTGGGCACTAAAATGGAAACTCTTTCAATAGGAAAACATATACATATATGCATATGTATATACTGAAAAATAAGATTAAATACAAGCAGTACTCAAATTTTATGTGGGCCAAATTTTAGGCAGTGGGGAGGGGGGACAGCTTTTATTGAGACTAGTATGAAATATAAGCAATTGCGATTTATTACTACCAAAAAAGACTTTGTTCCTAAGACACATAATCACATTTCCTAGTTGGAAAGTACTTCAGTGGACATCCAGTCTGACCCACACTCCGAAAAGAATTCTCTAAGTGAACAGAAATCCACTAGCTCCAAAGGTAACCCATTCAACTTTTTGAATGTTATAAATGTTATAAATGTTAGGAGTTTTTTCCTTACGTTGAGTTGAAATACATTTCTCTATTAACCTTTACCCTCTAAGCATAGTTCTGGCTACTGGGATCATGGAAAAACAATTTAAATGTGCTTTTACCTATCAACCTTCTTAAAGACTGAATTCATGTCTCCTTTTCAGTCTTTTATTCTCCAAGCTAAACGTCCATCTCCAGGTCCTTTAACCAATTCTTCATCTAGCACTGTTTTAAGACCCCTTTACCATCAAGGTTAACCTTCTCTGAATAAGTGCAGATTGTCAATGTCCCTTCTGAAATGTGGCACCCATCAGTAGTAGACCCAATAATCCAGATTTGTTTAACTGATGCAGAGTACAACAGCCTTGTTTACTTATTCCATTTATTTTCAGCAAACAGAACTTAATTTTAATAGTTTCCTTTTGATTCAAAAGGGGGTGCTAATGAAAATAAGAAATGATTTTGCCTGCCTGAACTGGAAAAAAGGTAGACTGAATTACATTATCTTACTACTTCTAAAACTGTCCCCATACCTGTTTAAATAACATGCCTGATATAGGGCAAGATTAAAGAAAAAACAAGAAAAACAAAAAACAAACAAAAAAAACCCTTCCACTTACTGCCTCCAGCTGTTTTTTCTTTTGCACAAGTAGTTCCAGCATCAGGTTGACATTGGGTAAATCAAGGTTATCTTGATCAGTTCCCAATAAATCTTGAAATATTTGCCACCTGTGGCCATTCTGAAATAGAAGAAATGAAAAGAGAGAGGAAATACAAAATCTTAACTAACAAAAAGCATATTCTAGATGCTTCTATAATACAAGTTTAAATTATAAGATTCCATTATGCTTGTTATGCTGTCTTCAAAAACATACTACCACATTCCAAGCCACAGATTCTCAACATTGCCTTCTGGATTATATTTAAACATTCTATCTTTTCCCTCATGGCTATGTCCTTCTACTTTCATAGAAAAAAATCTTGATCTTTTTCATTAGCACCTTCATACCAAAAATAATCAAACTGGTCATTCATTCTTAAATAAAGTGACAAACTGCTAATTATTATTATTCTGGAACACACACACAAAAGATGCATTAATTAAATCTCTAAGTTAAGAAAGCTATTTTAAGATGTCTATATTTTAATAAAAAATGTCTTTAGTACTCTATTAAGTTCATTGAGAAAACTCAGTTGCTTTGAAGCCAATAACTGAACATTTTCTGTAAGAACCTAGGAGGGATATTCTCTCTCCATCCAGACAAGGAGGGCTGTAGCTCTGATCCAAAGAACAGAATGCCCTTCCTCTTTCCCAAAAGGCTCCCATTCCCTTAAGTAAAAGCTATACATGCTATTGCCTTGGCTTGAATATGTCTACCCCTACGGCAAGTGATGGAATATATGTAAATCTTAAATCACCTAGAGTTTAAGGTTCTGAAGATGGAAGCCTACGACTAAGACATTACGCCACTGATGCTAGCAGCAAAGAAACAAAAAATTAATCCATTTTCATCCCAGAAACAGCCATAGACTGAGGCCCAACTGCTTAATAAGCACTTCAGTCCCAGAGGATTTTTTAAAATACTAATTATTGTGTTTCATAAATAAGTATACATTTATATATACAAGATCTGTTGTCAAGTTTCTGTTCAATAGAAATGTGGAACAATTTCCACAAATCTTCAAATCTCTCTCAAACTATAAAATATACAACTAAAGAGTAAATAATGCAAGACTCTAGTGAAATGGAATATAGAGGAATGAATAAAGTTATGAGGAAATTATTTTTCATATGACTTGGGTCTAATCAGAACAGTCTATGTTAGATAAAAATAAAATATTTTCTTAGAGCTAAGGATTTTGTTTTTTGGAAATTTTAATGTTAACAGTTAAAATCTGATATTGTATTCAAGTTTGAGGTATTCTCATAGTATGCACTGCTGTACAACATTCATTCCAGAAATGTTTATCAGAAGGCTACTCTGTGTAAGACATCCTATCACCATAAAGAGAAATTAAGAAATGGCATTGGTCCTTGATGAGTTGACACTCTCAGAGGAAGCACATTCTCCTGAATTATTAGTCACTTTAAATATAAGCAGCACCATTGTTTACACTGCCAAAAATCTACAGTAAAGGGAATAGTAATTCATTTCACTTTCTGATCAAACTGACAGATAATCTGAAGGATGAGTGTACAAATGCAGGAGGAAGTTCTTCAAAACCCTCAATATTTCATTGCTTACTCATCTAGGAGCATGATTAGGACCATGTTTTAGTTTCATAGGCTACACTCTACTGAATTAAATAGATTTGACTTTAATTTAATTCCGATCAAATTATCTGAATAAAATATGTAAAAGGACTCCAAAGAATAAAAATCACACTAAGTTGGTTATTCAGCACAATAAAAATAGCTGTATTTTTAAAAAGAATGCTTAAAGGGTGAGTCATTATTGGAATTATTATTGCTAATGAGAATGTGAGCTCAAATAGTTCTTTCAAGGGTCTATTTGATGAGATACTGTATAGTTCCTTGACCCAAATGTAAATTAGAACCCACTTAGGACCAGTCCTCCCAAATACAAGATTTTTGGAGAGATTATCAAAAATCTTTTCTCACAGTAATTTCATCTTCTTTTCCTCAATTCCCAATTCTTTTCTTCAAAATCCTATTTCATTCTCATAAGGACTTATTCTAATCAAATTCAATACTTACTAAGTGCCTGCTACTGAAAGCACAATTGACTAGGCACTAAGGTAGATAAAAAAAAAAGGTTGACTAAAAATCTGGTCATTGTCTTCACAGATTTTAAAGTCTAAGAAGCCTAACTTTACCCATTAATTGTTCCAGACAGTCACAAACAAAATAAGTAATACAAATTACTATAAGTAGGTAATTCTTAAAATTTTATTTGGAAAATCCTACAGAGACCAAACAATTTCCTTCAGTTAGATCAATGACAAACTATTCTAATTTTCCTTAAGATTAAACTGTTAGGTAAAAACAAAATGAGCTATAAAATGTAGTTTAAAAAAAGAGTTGAAACATACGGTGCTACTCACTGAATGGTCCAACTTGAACCTCTTTTCCTCAAATCTTTGCTTCTGTTTGAGAATGAGTTCATTCACTGGGAAGAAAAAGAATTCATTATTTTATATGTATCAGACTTGACTATTTTAATTGGCTGAATCATTTTAATTTCATAAGCCAAAACACATAATGATTTACAAAAAGCAGAAAATGTGGACTTTTTCTCTTGCTTTGTTTACTATTAACCATTTTAAAGAATGGGCAAACCTACTGAAATAAACATAATACCTGTTCAGTATATAACACAAGATTTAGCAGGTTCTGCATTAAGGGATTTGGAGAGTACAGAATATGATATTCCAGAGGTCAAAGGAGCTAGGATTAAGACCAAGAATCATCTATCCAGAAAAACTGAGTATAATCCTTCAGGGGGACAAATGATTAAGAAGACTGAGGCATGGAGGGCTAAGTGACCTGTCCAGAATAACACGGCTAGTAAGTGTCTGAGGCCAGATTTGAACCAGAAGAACAACACGTACAACAACTACAATACTATGAAGAGAAACAACTCTGAAAGACTTAAGAATTCTGATCAATGCAATGACCAACCATGACTCCAAAGGACTAATGATGATGAATGATACCCAGCTCCTGAGAGAAAAGTAATGGACTCAAGGTGAGAATGAGATACACATTTTCAAACAGAACCACTGTTTGGATTTCTTTTGCTTGACTGTACTAATTTGTTACAAAGAAGGGTGGGGTTTTTTAGTTTTTTTTTAATGGAGGAGTAGAAAGAAAAGGAGAGCTAATAATGATGACGGTGACAGTGATAGTGATGACAAGACTTCCTGCCTGAATGATGACTGCCTGAATGAAAGTCAAATAGATAAGCTCCTCAACAGCTACTCCAGTAAGAAGAAGAAAAAAAAACTACATCAGGCTGAAAGATGTTCAAGCCAAATAAGGCCTTATTTTCAGGAATTTGTGCTACCTTGTAATGGGATGCCTTAGACTGCCTCTTATATTCTGAAGAAAATACTGGAGAGACTGTGGTATATGAAACTAGTGGAATGTTACTATGCCATAAGAAAGGAAGAAAGAGGTAATTTCAGAGAATCCAGGAAAGTCTGAAATCATACAGAATGAAATTAATAGAACCAAGAGAACAATTTGGAAAATGACAACATTGTAAAAAAACAACTTCTTAAAACAAAAAAAGAACGTTTAAAGTATCTACCATCAGAAACTAACTTAGAAAACAGAAGAGAAAATTTAAGAATCACCAAAATCCTTGAAAACAAAGACCAAAAAAAAACAAGAAACAAAACAAAACAAAACAAAAACCAACTTCCCAGATCTACTAGAACCAAGAGAACAAAGTAAAAATAGAAAGAATCTACCAATCACCCACTGAAAGAAACCACAAACAGAAAAGCCCCAAGAATGTCATTGTAAAGATACTTATCTTTCCAAAAGGCAAAGAAAAAAAAATTCTTCAACCTCCAGAAAAAAAAAATTCAAATACCAAGGAACTATAATCATGATCAAACAAATCTTGGCCACAACTTACATAAAGGAGAGAAAATCATAGAATATAATATACAAAAAGGCAAAAGATAACCACTTAAACCCAAGAATAACTTGTCCTGTAAAAGTGATCCCACAGGAGGAAAAACGGACTTTTAATAGAATAGGGAACTTTCAATTATTCTTGATGAAAATACCAAAGCTGAGGGCACAATATGAAATGAAAAGACAATAGGCTAGAGAAACACAGGAAGGTAAATACATAGAATAATCAGAGGGGACCAAACAATGAGGAAGGGATGTGTTAATCTTATGTCTTTAAGGGTTACAGAGAGAAGGAAATAAAACAAAAACAAGGTCTGAATGAGGGTCTTTTTGGGTTTTGTTGAGTTTTTTTAAATGAAAGAAAACGTACAGAAAAAGAACACGATATGGAATAAATTAGGAAGAAGACAGGAGCTTACTACTTCAGATAAATGGGGCACATAACAAGAAAAGTCTATAAACATAAAGAAAGGAGTCTGGGGAACAGTATCACATGACCCCATTCTTATCTGGATAAGACAAAGAAGGAATGAAAACACACATACACACAGAGACATATACAAGGTTTGGTATGTAACTCAACAGAGTGTATAACTCAACAGACAAATACACATGGAAAAGGATAAAGGAAATAGAGTCTAAGAAGGAGAATAGAGTCAGGAAGGGAACTGTCACATGGAAAACTTCAATTTCTGAGTCTATCATAAAAGAGAGATCTAAGAAAGAAACTGAGGTATTGGCTTGGTAAAGAAAGAAGGAAAAAGAAGTAGGAAAAGACCATATAAATTACAGATAACTAGTACTGATCAAATTCCTTGTCTTTCTCTATCCCTTTCTTTAATAAAGAGCTCATTTCTTAGCTAGCCTTAATCACTGAATGGGTGTTACCTCAGTCAAACTGAGACCTATTAAAGACCTTAGCTTAAAAAGGCCAAGTTCTCACTGCATCCAAGGCCATCTCCAGTCCATCCTATTTATATCTCACCACTGGACTCAGACGGCTTCAGAGGAGAAAGTGAAGCTGGCGACTTTGCATAGCCCTTCCTCACTTAAAATCCAATTCACTTGCATGTCATGGCATCACCTCCCTGATGTCATGGCCTCTTCAAGAACCAAGGACAAACAAGGACAAACAACAACAACAACAACTTTATAAAGAATGGGCTGGGAGGAAAAAGAGGAAAAAGTATAAAAAGATATGAAGGAAAATATGCAAATTACAATAACAATGAATGTAAATTAGAAGACCTCACCTAGGAAATAGAGAAAGGCAGCAGAATGGATTAGAAAACAATTTAACAATATGTTGCTTACAGTAAACACATACACACACACACAAATTTACATAGAATTAAAATTAGAAGTTGGAGGAGAATATATTATGCTTCAGGCAAACTCAAAAAATAGGCGCAGCAATTTGATCTGAGAATAGGAACATTAAAAAAAGATACAACTAAAAGAGAAACAGAAAAACTAGTAAACTTAACAAAAGGAAAGAAGGAAGGAAACAAGCATCTATTAAGCATTTACTATGTGCCAGGCACTGCACTAAATGCTTTACAAATATTACCTCATTTGATTCTCATAAAAATCCTGGGAGAGTGGTGCTATTATTATCCCCATTTTATAGTTGAGGGAACTGAGGCAGATAAGTAACTTGCCTGAGGTCACAAAGCCAGCAATTGTCTGAGGCTACATTTGAACTCAGGCCTTCTTGACTCTAGGTCCAGTACGCTATCCCCTGTACCACCTAATGCCTCTAAAGGTATCATAGGTAATGAAATAATACCCATATTTAATATATATGCACTGAAGGGAAAAGCATCTAAGTTCTTAAAGGAAAAGTTAATCGAATTACAGAGAGAAATAGAAAAAGTACAATATTTAGGGACCTGAACGTGCCCCATTTCATACCCCAAAAAAAACTAACAAAACAATAAACAAGAAGTCAAGGACCTAAAAAGAAATCTAAAATTCTAGACTCTTTATTCTAGAAATCTAAAATAGATTCTAAGAAACCTATTCTTAGAATAGAAATCTAAATTTCTATTTGGAACCTAAACAGAAATTAAGAAATCTAAATCTATCACTTAGATATGATAGAGCATACCTTTCACAACTATGCACAGGGAAGAATTCTTGACTATACAAGGAATAGAAAGTTTAACAAGAAACTAAATGGACAATTTTGATCATATGAAATTGAAAACTGTTTATACAAACGAAAGTAATGCAGTTAGAATTAGAAAAGAAATAATTAGCAAGAGGAAAAATCTTGGCAGCAAATTTCTCCAATAAAGGCCTGATGTCCAAGATGTACAAGGAACTTAGATATGTAATGTGAGTGTAGGAATATTTATATCTATCTTCTGACCATTTACCTACCAAGGAATACCTCTTGTTCATATGTATAAATATCAAAGAGCCCATGGGAGAGGAGAAGCATAAAGATGCAAAAAGAGTAAAAAATATCAAGAGCAAGATTCCAAACAAGGCAGGAATGTTGAATTTATTATACTAGAAATCTTTAACTATATCATATATACTATGTAAAGATCTTTTAACAAATTAGGTTGTCCAAATTATATTCCTAGTGATATAAATCCACTCTGACATAATAACCTTTCCTTACTATGGAATTTAATCTTTAAAAAACACATAACTACATCTTACATAAATCAGACTCTATAATATGCTATTATGCCAAGGATTTTAGATTCTAAATTGACTAAAGCTATTCAGACTCAACGGGTTCCTTCCAACTTTTACTGATGCAAAGACAGAACTGAATTTAATTTTACATCTCTTTAATCATTATAAAGTTTTGTAAGAAGAATGAAAGCTGAGAATATTTACTTATGTAAAGTAACCTTATAATTTTATCCATATGAAGTTAAAACAACATTATTCAATTAGCAAAACATCTTAAGGTTTGTAAAGTGCTTCACGTGTTATCTCAACTTATCCTCACAACAACCATATGAAGAAGGTGCTATGATTATTACCGTTTTACAGATTAAAAAAAATACACTTAGAGAGGATACGTAACTTGCTCAGGATCACAGAAGTTGCTGAGGAATCTTCCTTACACCAAGTCCAGCACTTTATTCACCTAGCTTTCCTCAAAAATAAACAGACAACCACCACAAAAGCAACATCCACTAATCAGATGCATACATCATTTAAAAAAAAAAAACAGGACATTGCACAAAATACTAGTTTTAGGTTTAAACAGTTAAAGTATTGCTTTTCTAACAGGTATAGCCAAGTCTTCTAGCAATGAAATACTAGAGTTATTTGTCTCTAACTTGGCATCTCTAAGAAAGTCAAAATCTTAATTATCAGGTCCTACACAATAAGTGGCATCTAAAAGAAACCATTTCTAAATACTCACCTAAGAAGTTAGGGTAAAGATGGTCAATATTATCCACAACATAGTTACACTTGGGACACCTGTTATTGTCTTCCAGGCTCTGATGGATACATTTGTAGCTATTGGTAAGGAAAGAAAAAAGAAAAAAATTACATCAATGACATGTTATATGCTCAAAAAAGTTACTTTAGGTTGTATGAGTTGCATGATTTTGACAAATGTGCTTAGTATTTTTATTTTTCCCCAATTACATGTAAAAACAAATTTTAACATTCATTTTTAAAACTTTGAGTTCCAATTCTCTCCCTTTCTACCTCCCCACACCCTTCATTGAAAAGGCAAGCAATTCAATATAGGTTATACATGTATAGTCATGCAAAACATATTTCCATATTAATCATGTTGTGAAAAACATCAAAAAAAACTTAAGAAAAATAAAGAAAGTAAAAATATATACATATGCTTTAATCGGTATTAAGACACTATCAGTTTGTTCTCTGGGGATGTAGAGCATTTTTCATCCTAAGTCCTTCAGATTTGTCTTGGGATCATTGTATTGCGAGAATAGCTATGTCATTCACAGCTGATCATCCTATAATATTGCTGTTACTTTGTACACAGTACATGTCACTTTGCATCACCTTCTGTATTTCCAGGTTTTTCTGAGAGTATCCTGCTCATCATTTCTTATAGCACAATAGCATTCCATCACAATCACATACCACAATTTGTTCAGTCATTGCCCAATTGATAAGCATCCTCTTTATTTCCAATTCTTTGCCACCAGAAAAGAGCTGATATAAACATTTTTGGTAAATCTAGGTCCTTTTACTTTTTGTTTTTTCTCTATGGGACACAGACCTAGCAGTGGTTTTGCTAGGTCAAAGGGTATGCGTGGTTTTATAGCCCTTTGGGCATAGTTCCAAATTGCTCTACAAAATGGCTGAATCAGGTCACAAATGCACCAACAACGCATTAATGTCTCATTTTTCCCACAACCCCTCCAACATTTGTCATTTTCCTTTTCTGTCCTATTTGCCAATCCAATAGGTGGTACTTCAGAATTGTTTTAATTTTCATTTCTCCATTCAATAGTGATTTTGAGCATTTTTTTTCCATATGGCTATAGATAGCTTTGATTACGTCATCTGAACACTGCTCATATCTTTTGATCATTTATCAACTGGGGAATGGCTCTTGACTCAGTTCTCTATATATTTTAGAAATTAAGTCTATCAGAGAAACTTGCTTCAAAATTTTTTTTCAGAGTTACAATTGCTAACTGTATTTCTCTCCATACTCTTTCCCCATTTATTCTATTCTCTCTCCTTTCTGTCCTCCTCAAAAGTGTTTTGCTTCTGACTACTGCCTCCCCCAATCTTCCCTCCCTTCTATCACTCCCTCTTCAATTATCCCCCTCCCCTCTGACTTTCCTGTAGGGTAAGATATATTTCTATACCCAGTTCAGTGTGTGTTATTCCCTCTCTGAGCCAAGTCCAATGAGAGGAAGGTTCACTCACTCCCTCTCACCTCCATCTTCCCCTCCACTGTAAAAGCTTTTTCTTGCTTCTTCTGTGTGAGATAATTTGCCCCATTCTAGCTTTCCCTTTCTATTTCTCCCAGTGCATTCCTCTCTCACCCCTTAATTTTATTTTTTTTAGATATCACTTCATATTTATCTCACACCTATGCCCTCTGTCTATATATACTCCTTCTAACTGCCCTAATAATGAGTTACAAGTATGAGTTACAAGTATCATCTTCCCATGCAGGAATGTAAACAGTTTAACCTTATTAAGTCCCTTAGGATTTCTCTTTCACGTTTAATTTTTCATGCTTCTCTTGAGTTTTGTAACTAAAAATCAAATTTTCTATTCTGCTCTGATCTTTTCATCAATAATGCTTGAAAGTCGTCTATTTTGTTGAATGTCTATTTTTTTCCCCTGAAGGACTATACTCAGTTTTGGGGGATAGATGATTCTTGGTTGTAATCCTAGCTCCTTTGCCCACCAAAATATCATATTCCATACCCTCCAATCCTTTAATGTAGAAGCTGCTAAATCTTGTGTTATCTTTACTATGTTTCCATGATACCTGAATTGTTTCTTTCTGGCTGTTTAAAAAATTTTTTTTCGCTGACCTGAGAATTCTGGAATTTGGCTACAATATTCCTGGGAATTTCATTTTGGGATTTCTTTCAGGAGGTGATCAGTGGATTCTTTCAGTTTCTATTTTACACTCTGGTTCTACAATATCAGGACAGTTTTCCTTGACAATTTCATGAAAAATGATTTATAAGCTCTTTTTTTTTGATCATGGCTTTCAGGAAGTCTAATAATTTTAAAATTATCTCTCCTAGATCTATTTTTCAGGTAAGTTATTTTTCCAATGAGCTATTTTGCATTGTCTTCTATTCTTTCATTCTTTTGGTTTTATTTTACTGTTTCTTGATTTCTCATAAAGTCATTAGCTTCCATTTGCTCAATTCTAATTTTTAAGGAATTATTTTCTTCAGTGAACTTTTGTGCCACCTTTTCCATTTGGCCAATTCTGCTTTTCAATGCATTCTTCTCCTCATTGGGTTTCTTGTACTTCTTTTACCATCTGGCCTAGTATGTTTTTCAAGGTGTTATTTTCTTAAGTTTTTTTTTTTTGTTTGTTTCTCCTTTACCAACCTGTTGACTCTTTTTTCATGATCTTCTTGTATCTTTCTCATTTCTCTCCCAATTTTTCCTCTATCTTTCTTACCTGATTTTTAAAATCCTTTTTGGTCAGAATCTTTTTCTGCTCATTTTTCCAGTCTATCTCTTGACTTGTAACTCTTTGTTAAAGTGAGGCTCGACTTCCAGGGTAGAGGATGCACTGTCCCAAGCTTCAGGGTTTCTGTGCAGCTGTTTTCAGAGACACTTCTAGGCACCTGTAAGTTTTCAGCTCTTCCAAGGTGGTACGATCTAAGGAGAGTGTTTACTACTCTCCTGGCCTGTGCTCCGGTCTGCAAGTAACCACAAGCACTCTTTTCTGCCCTGGAACTAAGATCAGGGTCTCAGCTCCACTATAGTGCATAAGCTTTGGTGTGCTAGCGCTCCTCCTGCCCTGAGAATGCCACCCAGGACTACAACACAGACTCAAGTATGGGTAAAGCAACAGAGTCCTGCCCCTAGTGCCAGCAAAGAGACCCCTGTAATCTCCTTCTGATCAGTTGTTCAAGCTCCCCCTACTGTCTGTGGGCTGAGGGCTCCAGAAGCAGCTGTTACTGCTGCAGATTCAGTTGCTCCCAAGGCCTGTTCCTGGTTTGCTGGGGTCCGGTCTTCACAGGCACAGCCTGTGCTGGATCATATTCCACTCTCACTCCAGTGGGACAGACCTTTCCCGACGACCTTCTAAGTTGTCTTTGGCTGGAAAATTATTTCACCCTCTCCTTTTGTGGGTTCTGCTGCTCCAGGAATTGTTTTATGGCATTCTTTAAAGGTATATTGGAGCGATCTCAGGCAAATTGCTGCCTTTTCTCCACCATTGTGGCTCTGCCTCTGAGTTGTATGATTTTGTCCTTAGGAAGCCTACATGAATTGTTGCATAATTAGTTTTTAATGCTCATTCTCAAAGAGCATATTTAAAATCACAAATCTGAAAAAATTACTGTTATTTATTGAGTGGGGTGAGTATAAGTCATCCCAAAGCAAAAAGAGGTATAGGAAACAGTGTTGGTGCAGTAGAAAAAGTGGGGAATTTCAATGTAGAGGGCCCAGGTTTAAATCCCAGCTCTACCATTTAATAGGGGTAACCACTGGCAACTCACTGAACTTCCCTGGGACTCAACTTCCTCAATTTTAAACCAAGGGGGTTGTCCCACATGGCCTCAGAGGTTCCTTCCTGCTCCAAAGCTATGATCCTATGAGGTTGGTCTAGGAATCTCTAAGGACCCTTCCAGTTCTAAAAGCAATAAAGTGTATTTTAATGTAATTCTAAGGTTATCAAATTGGACTTATGACTAACCAAACTTTCTAAAAGTTTTCTCCTGAACAAAAATTCAATCTAATTCATACCAAATATTGTTAAGTACCTGCTAGGTGCAGGGCATAATGCTAGCCTATGGAGATCCAAAGACAAAACTGAAAAGCAGTCCTGTCCTCAAAAACCTTATATTCTATTGGGGGTTATGACATAGAAGCAGATCAGTAAATAAACCATAATTTGAAAAAGATAAGAACACTAATAACTAAAGAACTATGGAAAAGTTTTAAGCAGGGGGCAGATGAGACATCTGAAGATCTTCTCTTCTAAATCTACAATCCTATTATACAGTAGATGAACCTTGAAAGAAGTTAAGAATTCTGAGGCAGAACCAAGGAAGAAATGCATTCCAGGTACCCAGGTGTGGATAAAAGGAAATCAAAGGCTAAGATATAGGAGAGTAAATAATAAATCCATATAACATAAAACGACCCACCCTAGAACACTGAACATTGAACATAAAAGGGAGTAATATGAAGTAACTCTAGATAGAGGAAAAGGGCTAGAATCATAATATGAAGGACTTTAAATGTCATGCTGATGAGTTTGTACGTTAACCTATATGTAAGACAAAAATAGTGAACATTCTTGAGCAAAAAACATGCCATGATCACATGCTTTAGGAAGATTATTTTGGTAGTTGTGTGTAGAATGGATTGGATAGGGGAACCTAGAAGCCAGGAGACCAATTAAAAAGTTATTTTAAAGTTAACAGCTGCGAAGTAATGAGGACTTGAATTAGAATGGTGGTTATTTCAGTAAAAAGATGATGACAGATGCCAAAGACGTTGGGGAGGTAGAATCAGTAAGACTTGGCAACTGATTGGCTTCAAGACAGAAGCTGAAGAAAAAAAAAGCTGAGGAAAAAAGTTACGAAGCAATGAATCTTAAAGAGAAACATATTTTATTGTATATCTAAATTCCACATATTTATACCTTTTAATATCTTCCTCCTCTCTCCCTTAAAAAATAAAACAAAACAAAAAAACATACATGAATTTCCCTCAAAACCTACTCACTATACCAGTTTACTACTAGGTTCCATTTTTTCACTTTCTTCCTGGAAAGGAAAGGAGGAAAAAAAACAAACAATAACAAAGAAAAAAAA